AGTACCATGAACAAAGAGCCAGAGGGATGCTGGGAGGAATGCAACATGCTTTATTGCTTGACTTCCAGCACTATTTTCTTTTGGGGGGTGTGTGTGTGTCTTCAATTACATTTATTTTTGGCTTCCTTTAAATATTTTAGAAGGTTTCATCTGTAAATATTTAGTGTTAAAACCTCAAGAAACCAATCTAAGTAACCAAGAAAAGACTAAAACTCACCCGGGTATGAGATCCTGGGAGGAAAAACATCAAGGAGCAAAAGCAGTACAGATCAACCCCAAATTTCTTTGGAGCTCCATGTGATCAGCTACCCAATGTCATGGGCTTCAGAGAGCTAGAACAGCTCAGTAATACAAGGAGATGACTTTGAGCACAAGAACTCAACAAAGATACACTCTAAAAAGTCAATTGGCTTGTTGGAAAAAAATATAGCCTCAAAATACCTCAAAGAAGCAGTGTGGATTATAGATTAGGACACTGATCAGCAGGCAAGTTATGTCAGGTCTACTCCCAGCTCTTTCACTGAACTGCTGTAGAGCTGTAGGACAACTGTTTCTCTTCTCTCAACCCATCTTTCCTCCCATGGAGGTTCTTTGGAACATGTGCACACTGTGCTTCAACAACATCTGGCAGATTCTACTCTAAACTTACATGGAAATATTTAATGGAAGTGGTTGAAAAAGAAGAAATTATATTTGATGTAATTACATAATATTTATGATTTATATTTATACTTGTACACTATTTTTTCTCTGGCTTCTCACACAAAATAAAACTCAAAAATATTTGATTATTATTTTTCTGTTTCTGGTGATACTAAGAAGTACCCATGTAGGCTTGGTCATGCAAAGAAGCAAAATAAAATAAATTCACAAATATCCTATTTAAAATAGCCTGTAATCAGTGCTATAAGGATTGGTCTGAAACTTTCTGCATTTTTCCAAACATTTTCTTCTTAGAATACAAATAAAAAACCAAACTTCATTCAGTTTTGTCATGTTCACATCTTGTCTTGTTTCTGAGTTGCCAGTAAAAAGCAGGGTCTATGCTTTGAAAAAGTTTTTTGTAAAACATGGATACCAGGTGACACCTATACATGATAATAAAGTTCAGAAAATAGAATTTTGGGAAAGAATAAAAACCTTCATGCACTGGGGCTTACAAAAAAAAAAAAAGAATATTAAAGGTGATCATGCATGAGAGTTAGATTATTGTCATTTAGACTTGGATCCCTGCACCTTCCACTGAAAAACTTATCCATATTCAGAATCTGGCTAACCACTAAATTATATGGGTTCTTGAATGATTATGGTAATTCTGAAATTCCTGATTCTTACAGGATACCCCTGTGTAGTTGAAGGGTAACCAAATCATTCATTTAGTAGTTAATTAAAATGTAAGTAAGTGCATAAACCAGGAGTGATTATGCCATTGAGAGAGACAGTCCACGATTTTCTGTTTCTTTTATCAGACACACACAGCTGGCAGCAATACATAATTGCATTTTAAACTTCTGTTATTTGCCTCTGTTGAATATTGACATAAAATGAAATTACATAGCAAAAAATAATTCTGTTGCCTAAAAATTCATGGTTTTATCATAAAGTCTTTCAATGTTGAAAAGCTTGCAGAATTCTGCAGGGAATCCTCCCAATCAGCTTTCCACTTCTACTTGTTGACATGTTAAGTTCTTCAGAAACCTGTTGTTTACCCAGATAAACAGGTAGGAAGAGGGGTTGTTCACACACCTTGTTGAACTGAGTTCTAATGCTAAATTCTTGTTTAAGATTTGCTAGTACTTGTGTGGGAATTGAAGTGTGTATCTTAGTGTTCATCTGCTAATGCAGATGAACATGTAAATTGTTTAGACCAGGAGGAGTAGCTGTTTGAATAAGTCTGCATATCAACAAAAATGTATATGTTGGAATACATCTGTATATGAACAATATGCAGACTTTTTGTAACTATGTGAAGTTTTAGTATTCATTGATTTTTTTTTTTTTTAACTGTAATAGTGATTACCATGATAATGTCACTGTCTGTATGTAGCAACGTATGGTCTGTTTGTATATGAGGAGAGCAAGCCCTGTGCTCCTGCTAATGTTGTATGATGCCTTTCTAAACCTGTAGCCAAATGTAGCTGCTGTCAGGTTTCCCAACACCAGTACTGCTCAATTATGGGCTAGGTAATTTTTCTTTTCTACTTACATTTAATGCCATGTTACTGTTTATGGATGGAATTATTACTTTTTTGAGATGTGGACACTGCTCAAATGCGCCTTAGAAACAGTTTCCTGACAGAAGTACTGGTTTCTTAGACTATCAAGTACAAGGAAGCTTCCCACCTGTGCCTGTAACCTATAAAGCTACTTCAGTTTTGAGTCCCTCCCCCAGATGTTTTATGGTGACGATCGTGATAGGTCTGCTGTTTTCGTCTAATTGTTAATATGCGGCTGCCTAGAACTGAAGCTGAGATAGTTGCATTTAACTTATACAGAGGTCTACATTGCTCAAAAGAATAAAACATTTTTCATTATCTTGCATGGTCTATTCAAAGCATGGGAGGAATAACCTTCTCTGTCTCAGTGAATGTACGTCTGTTGCCTGCCTACCTACTTTCTGAGCAGTATGTACTGTCTCACAGATGTACATTCTCTCCCACATGAGCTGTACTCTTCTCCTGCTGTGCATGCAAATGGCTATATTTGAGCAGGTTACTCCTGTTAATGTACATGTTTCAGGAATGTATGCATCTGCCTCAAGATAGTTGGTGACTGCTAGGATTTAGAACTCTAGAATTACAGTTTACCATGAACTGACCTTAATAAATTATTACTTTATATAATATATAATGATGAAAAGGCATGTATATTAAATAATATATTACATACAGTCACACATACATGACTTTTAAAAATATTTTATAAAATCATAAATCCTACACACAGAAGCTTAGAATTATTTTCATGAGAAGAATCTGGATCTGTATTCAGGTTCACTTGCTTGAGAGTAACTTTTTTATTGTAAACATCTAAAATATATTAGAAGCATACTTTAAAACTATAACATCAAGGCAAGTCATTTACCTCTAAAACCTGTATTTTTCCAATGAGAAATGTGGAAGAATTTCAGATACTTTTTTTTCCATATTCTTAAGTGGATAAATCCATTATACTGCTGTAAGAGATTGCTAGATTACCTGGAAAAGAGTGCTGCAGAATTCACTTCTATGACTATTAAAAATAAGATATTCTGAATCATACTTGTGAGTTTTTATAACTACTTAGAACAATTTTAAATCAAACTATCACAAATGTATTTGTTTTTCAATTTGAGGCATTGCTCTAGAAAAGGCTACTCTGGACTAATGTTTGACAGGTAAACAGTATCCTCATTCTCCTGCTATCAGTTTGCCTGAGGACAACGCCTGCTCTGTGTGCAGTTTCCAAATTGTTTCTGGTTTCTTAAGCATTTTGTCTTGCAGAAACCAGGTGCAAACCTTCAACAATGTGCAAATTAATCTTGTTCACAATCTCAGCTAACATGTAACTGCAGAAACATCCGCTGGCAAAAGTAGGTGTTGGAAAACAGTCTAAGGTGTGATTGGTGAGGAAATGAAATGGAAAAAAACTAGCTCTAATAGAACAGTTATTTATATGCTAAGAAAGAAGATGACAAATGTGTTTACATGTATTTTTAACCTCTTGAGCTTTCTAGGAGGATATTATTGACATCGGGTAGAAAGTAAAATCTTTGGAGGAAAGAAAAAGAAGCTGTCAAACACAGAATCCCTTTAGCTATTAGAAGGGGAATAAAATTATTTTTAAAATCAGAGAACAAGAAGAAATAAAGGCACTGAAGCAGAAGGAACTAGGTTAAGGTTAAAATAGTAAATAAATTTAGAGTTTAAAAAGTAAAAGATGTCAGAGACAGTGAGAGAGAGAAATTGAAAAATGGCAAACAATGAGATGATGTTCTAAAATTGTATTTAATAGCAAGAGTAAGACAGGCCATAGGCCTGCATGCAACAGGCCTGAAGCGAAGAACAGAGATGAAGAGTATGCTTAGTTTGAAGATCATGTCTCAGAAGAGACAGCTATGAATCATGAATAATTTATAACCAGTATTGCCATTTGAAGTCAAACAAATCAAGCTTAGGATGTGAAAAAATTCTTTAAAGGCTACAGATACCATCTTGAAGTTTCAGTTACCAGCTTCATGGGAAAAAAGGTAGAGCTTCTAGGTGTATGTAATCACCCTAGTCCAAATCCTACAAGGGCTTGCCCTTTTCAAGAAGAGACCTTTGAAGAACAATTTATTTCTCAAATAGACATATTCAGGATAATGTTCACAGCTACTACAAAACAGGTTCCCCTGGGAGTCTCCATTCCACGTCGCGGTGTGAATACTATCACATTGTATGTTTTCAAACCAGGAAGTGCAACCTCTTAATCTTTTCTTAAAAGTGAGGTTATAACACTGTGAATCTCATGGGTTATGTCTTTTTAAGACTTTCTTCTTTTAACATTTGAAAGTGTTATGTCCTGGAAAGCTTTTAAAAATGAACTGGCGATTCTGGGTCTGAAACACTGTGTGATATACAAAGAAGGATGCATTTGGAGTCCCACAGGACTGTGGTGAGGGAACTGGGGATTGAGCTTTACCACATAAGCTGGAGAGTACCCTACATATCAGTGATGTAATATGAAGTTGCTGGAAACTAGGTCTCTGTAAGGTCTCCTGCATTGTTTTGTAGTTCAGCTGCTGTGTTTAAAACTCTACAGAGAGATAAGGCCACAACTGGTGCTAGGCACCAGAAAAGGTTAATATGCTCAAAAGAGTCATCCAACACTTTTAAGGGTTGAGATGGTAGGTTGGATGCAGAAAAGATGCTATGGTCATTCATACCTTTGCAGGTGTAGCTTGTTGCAGAGATTCTCTATGAGACAAAGTCAGTCATGATGATATCTCAGATGCCATAAGAGAGAAGGATACTCAAAACCCAAGAGGCAAAGCAATAAAATTGCAAGTAACTTCTTACACCCAACAAACAAATATTTGGTTTGAAGGTGTTCATGAGTTTCCTGGAAGGGATGTGGTTGTGAAAATGCCATCCAGTTTCCTTCAAAAAACCAACATTCCCACCAGGTTAATGGAGCACTACTCCTCCACATGCTGTGACCAGCAGTAGGCCTCCCTTCTGGTTCAGCTCTGCTGGCCTCATTCTCTAGCAAGCCCTTTGCCATTCATGTGTGCACGTGGCAGGTGGGAGAGGAAGAGTAGCCAGAGTCTAAAGAGCATTTAAAATACTCAGTAGAGTGAAGAAGAGGAGCCAGAGGTTTGGTTTTTTGTCATGACTTTCAGTTTTTATCACGGAAATGAGAGCAATGTTCTCAAATTGCATCCCAGCCAGATGAATTTTAAACATTTTATTATTACTAGTAGTAGAGTAAGTTCAGAAGAAGATGACTGATGGTAGTTTTTGAAAAATACATGTTTTGCTGATGTAGTTTCCTCCCTGTTTCTTGATCCTAACAACTCTATACGAACACTTTTTTAAGCAAAGTGAATGTTTGAAAATATGAACATGGGTGTAAACAAAGTTCTCCAAGCAGCTCTCAAAATGAAAAAATCAATGTATTGTTTAGTTGTATTACCGTGAGCTAGCAGCCCTGATCTTCAATTAAAATTCCACTATCATATAAATTATATCTAGAAGAAAAAAGAATTTGTATCCCCCGAGTTTGCAATCCCCAAGTAAGTGAATTATAGTATTACAGCTTTGTCATATCAAAAGTATTCCTCATTGCCCTTCTCTGAAAGGCTACTTTTTCCCTTAAATATTTTTATATTGTATTTTAACTTTTGTGCATAGGTAGTACCTGTGGCACTGCATTCAGATAGGAATATTAACAATTATACTTTTATCTTTGATTTTAGCTAATAAAGGTGGAATAAAGTTCCCTCATTTAATGAACCTAATCTGAAGTGTAGGCTTTCTATATGAAGAACTTTAGCTTGGGCTGAATTTTCTCGTTTTTGGAGGTGCTATTGTCATTATTACTTTAAGAATATTTCTATGTAAAATTTTTGTTCTAAAGTCTGCTAGAGAATCTTCGTACAAAAGTTCAGTATATACTAGAAAATTGCTCTCTCTTCAATTCCACACACCAAATCCAAACTGTTTATCTGAATTGTGCAGAAAATAAATGCCATTCTTCAACCTACAAAGATAAGGCTGAACATTTCACAGATTATTTCTGTTGTTTCCCGATTTCAGGTTAATTCCCAATTTTCTTACTGGGATATTTTGGCTCGTAGAACTTGAGTCCCACCTAGAGATTGGAATTACAATGGCTTGTGAAATGTAATTAGAAATGAAACAAATAATGAATAGCCCTTTTTCATAAGCCTAAAACCTGTTACTGTTTAAGCTTTTGTTAAAACTTAAAGTGGTGTGTTGCTTTTTATCATGTTCCTCTAATAGAAATCAAGGTTATATTATCTAGGGCCCTCCTTGTTTATAAATCTAAAAATATTGATCAATTATAAGTATTAAGACAGAAGTTGCAAAGTGTCAAAAAGACAGGTAGAGGGATTTGAGGCATTGTCATATAGTGCTGCGCTACTGCTTTCCACAACGTCAGCCACTCCAGACACTGTTCCTCCCAATAAAGGTTAAGGCATGAATTTGGTCCTTAGACTCCGGAGAAATGGCCTAGGGAACACCTGTGAGGAATGCTTCAGCTGCTGAAAAATCTTAAGCTGGCATTTATATATTCATCAGGCAGTAGGGAATTCTGCTATGAGATACGCATCTATAAGAAATCAGTCCTTCTGCTCAAAGAACTATTCATTTTTCTTATTTAATTCTCCCTAGAGAAAATCTCTTATCACACCAGGAAACAAATATCCATTTCAAACTTTTAAGGATGTCACACTAGGAATGATGTGGGCCAGAGAGAAAGAGATAAGAGGTAGAGATTTTTTCTTCCCAACTCATCAGCCTCATCAGCACAGCATTATGTTTAGGGGATATGGTTAATTGTAAAGCTACCTAATGAAGAAAGAGGTGGGCACAGAGACTGGCAAACTCAGCAGGGGAATGTCTGCTTGTGATTGCTTTTATATTGACTTGTTTCAGCATGTAACCTGGGCTGTAGTAACTATTTCAAGTATAAAATGATTCATCCTCCTGCACAGAATAGGCACTACCACATCTAATGGCATGCCAGCTGGGTTATCCTAGATCAGCTGGCCCATAGGAAGATCAGCATCAACAGTTTTAGTCATTACAAAGCCCTGAAATAATGCTACCATGACCAATGGGACTGTGTTCTAACACAAATTGTTCCCACACCGTCTGTGGGAAGATATGGTGGTACCTTTTCTCTCCGGGGCCCTGGTGGGATTTGCCCTTGGAACATAAAATGAACCAGTTCATGAGTTCAGAGAAATGTCATGATTCCATATTCCGTTATTCAGAGGGTTGATCTTTTCCTCTTTCACTTTTTTTTCCTGACTTATAGACCTATAGTGGGTTTTTAATATCTGCCCTCTTTGCCAGTAATAAATTCTCCTGGAGAAATTCTTTGCTTTTCTTGGCAACAGGGGTGCAGTGTCTGTCTTAGAACTGAAGGGTATCACAGATTTCCTATACCTACGCTTGAAAGTCTACTCCTTTTTTTCTGCAGGATTGCTAAATCTAGTCATACAGTTTTTGACAATTATTATTTAAAAAAATAATAATAGGAAAAAGAAAGGTAAATTCTTTTCTTCATATTCGATAATATTCTTGCTTTTCCCAGGATGACAAGAAAAGGTAAGAGTTATTCAAGAACTCTTATTTCATAACTCAAATCCTTAACACTAGTGCAAAGCCAGAGTGGCAGTATCCTGTCATGAATTGCCTCGGTTATTGCTATTGCACTTGTACAACCAAAGTTAAGATATGCAGTTCCAAGACATTGCTGTCTAATAGCTGCAGTGATATAAGACAGGAAATTCTGGTGAACTACAAGGGTAGTTGGAAGTATTCAAACTCATTTTATTTTGTTTTTAAATAAATGTTACTGGATAACAGCAGAAAATAACCTAAGAAAACACTACTAGTTCTTTATTGAGTGTATATTTTTGTATTTTTCATAACTAGAGAAGGGATATTAAGGTCAAATAGTTACTGGTATCTGTGAATGGATAGGGTGTGAACTCATTTTAGGGTTTTTGGAAGGGAGCAAGGGAAGAGAGTTGTTTGGGGTTTTTTTAGTGAGTGTATAGTACACTCACAGAACAGAAGCAACCTTGTATTGACTGATTGTTACCTACACAGTATGACTCTACTTCCTCTTCAAACTCATATTCTCAAGATTAAAAGAAAAGAAATTGAGCTACAATCAGCAAGAGCTCATTATTAGTGGTAGTCAATTTTTTGGATCATTTTCTCAATTCTTAGAACTATATACAAGAAGTCGGCAAATTGCTATTTGTTCCCAGTTTCTTGATTGTTCCTAGTTACTAGCAAAAAGATACACAAAGGGTGTTGGGGTACTTTATACATTAAATCTTGAAAACTATTTTAAAATTCTCTTATGTAGGGCATGACACAAGAAAGTATTATTACATAAATTTTATCCTGCTGCTTTTTAGCCTTAATTATGCAGTCTTCTTGAGAGTAGCAAAGAACTCACTTAATAGACTGTATCGCTTTTTGAGATAAGTGGCATATTTATAGCTTCTATAATGTACATCACAATGAGAATGATTATGCTGTGTTAAAAAGACGATGTTAAAAACCACACAATTTGCAATTAAGAATTTGTTTTAACAATAAAAATGAGGGAATGAATGTTTGTGAAACATAAACTTATAATGACAAATATTTGAACATTACTACCATGCTTAACATTATGGTACTATAGTCCTCTGTGAGAATGTGTTGTCAACATTATGGGATGGTTTTATGGAATTGTAGATAAAACATATCTAAAAATGTAAGCAGGACATTTTATAGTCACATGGTACTGCAGAGAGTTTTGGAAGTTTGTACATACTATATGCCTTTTCATGTAACACCCTAGTCTATTTTCTTTTTCTTTCTCCTGCTTTATTTTATACAAAATATTAAAAATCTCAGCTCTCTGGGAAGGTCTCTTTAAACTTAGTAGTGTTAAATTACTTTCATTTTCTTTCTACATGAGATATTTGGCTGGATTTGAGTATTATTAGCTTCCATCAATGCCGCCCGACTCGGATACTCTTTTTATGCAGACTTGTATGTCTTGCTTCCATACTGCCTTTCAATTATATCTATTCAAATACAGTGGCAACCTCCCCCAACAAACCAGCATCTTTGATAAGTAGGTTACTAAAAATGCTATGTAATGACACAAGATTGAGAAGCTAGAAATCGCCCTTGCAAACTGAAGGGATTTAACTGTGTAAGAACAGCCTTAGAGGCATGTGTTTATTATTTAGGACATATATGTGCCACAGGCAAATGCAAACTTATGTCAAATGAACTATTCCTATGCTATATAAATCATGAATATTAAGCTGTCATCACCTTCAAACATCCCTAACGAATTCGTTTTTCTCCACTGAAAGAGCAGGAAGATGATGCGTAAGGTAAGACCATTTTTCACAAAAAAATGTGAAAGAGATTATTTTAAAATTATGTACTGCAAACATATTTTTTGACCACAAAAAGGGTCTAGAAATGAAACATCAGTGAGGAAATCGACCATCAGTGCTATGCTGAGCAATTTACACGTTACAGAGATTATCTTTTGACTCTACAGCTGCAACGCTGAAGTGCTCAGGAACCTCCCAGTTTATCACAGGATTGATTGAAGTTTAGTTATTTAAATAGTACAATAAAACATTTAGTTAAATCAATAATTTAAACATATTTATCCACTATGAAGAAAACTCTTCTAAAAATGCTTAATAATCAGAGTTAATTTAATGCTCAAATAACTGTGGGTATACATTGTTCTTTAACTACCAAACCATTGTGTCTAATCCTTTTGAACCAAAGATTTCTCACAACAATTCATTATAATTAGATCTAGCTCCAGTTGCAAAGAGTGGAATTACAGTGATTTCCTCTTGTGAAATTGCAACCATTTTTGTGAAAGTCAGTTAGTGGATGGGGTATGATAATTTCATTATTAAACAGGAATTAAAAAAAGGAGTTGGGATGTTAACATGCTTTGTGTCTCAAAGAGTCATCAGTACTTATGAAAATACATTCACAGGGGCATTAGAGGCATCGCAGAAAATTGTATGCTTAGTTATTTGCAGGAGAGCCTTTAAGACATAGAATCACTGTTAATTTGCTGATTTTATCATAAAATGAAAAACACTCAAAATTGTTTTTTCTTTAATTAATTTAAATTTCCTAAAAGATCTAATTATTTTCTTACTATTAAATGAACAAATATTATTTCTTAAAGCCACTGTTTTCTGTAATATCCACAAAACTATATTTGTTACAAAACCAGTCTTGCCTTTAACATCTGTGCTTTTGCAATTACCCCGCATTAGGTTCAGTGGAAATGCTTGTAAGATTCCACATTATCCCTTATTCTCTGGTTACTTGTATATTAATCCTTTTATCCTTACTTGACCTTTCTAAAGCTCAGTTTAAACTGTAGCAAGCCATTCTTTCAGATATGGCAAACCTTCAGAAAGACAAACTCAGAATAATAAACTTGACCCTCAAGGGTCTTTGTTCAATTGGGAAGTCATGCTGGAGTGGCTTGAAAAAGGTTTCAGGCCCCAACAACCCTTTTCTTCAGGGACAGTCATGGTTTCACTTTGCTGGGGTGACTCAGTTGACACCAAGTCTAGGAAAAACTGAGTAAAAAAGGGCTGCATTACTGTCACTGGAATTTTAAGAAAGCCTTTAACCCCTCTCAAAAGATCAAACATAATCATCGAAGAGCATTTCAACTCTTTATATGATTAGTTAGAAGCAGGTAAACTTGAATGCCTAAGCCTGAACAGAAAAGTCAGATTCTTTCAGCCTGTAAGAATTTCAAACATATTGATTCCACAGGAGCAGTGGAAGATCTAGCCTGTCACTGTGAAAAAGATAGCAAAGTTAAGGGTCTTTGTGCTCTGGATGCTTTTTTGCATTAACACCAAAGCGGTGATGGCCCTTCAATCCTCAGTTGCAGCTCTGTTGCTACTGTCGCAGCTTGGTGGTTCTCACTGTTCACCATGAAGCTCTTTCCAAGGAGTCTTACAGCAGCTAACAACATTATGGAGACATATTTCACTTGGGTGCAACTACACTTGCCACATAAACTGGAAAGATCCTTTTTATTGTGGTCATAACTGAGCATGCAGCAGAAAAACAGGCCAAAAGTAGCTATTAATTATATGTATTGCTTGGATCCACAGGGTTTCTTGTTGGATATGTAATTTGTGTTAAATTCCCTGCTCCTCAGTCTATACTGTTAAGGTGGCATGGATTTTTCTATTGCTCTGCTGTCACAGGAATGGGTCCATAGTGATTTCAAAAACAACTACAGACCAGATGATGAACAGAGAGGTGCTTGGATGAATAAAGAAAGTGGGAAGGCAACTGTGCAGATTTTCTCAGGTCTTTTGGGATGCTGCCAAGGGTTGAAGCAGCAAGTACAGAAGAGACCTGAACGCAGTTGACTCAAGTCCTTCCCAGCCATTCCAGGAGAGGTCTCTGTCCCTCTTGTCTGCAGCTTGTTGTCCAGTTTCTCAGGAAGGCTTCCACTTGTCCCTGTCCTTTTGTTGGCCTCACAGGGATTATAGAAGGATAAATAGTTCTAAGGTGTTCTGGCTTGGCAGTTCTGAAAAAGTGCATGTACATAGATCTTGGATGTCTGCATGACAGGGAGAAACTGAAAAGCCTGCTTACTGAAATAGTTAATTTATGCAATCATGTGAATTCATCTATAAATACTCATTTGCCACACAATTAACCAACTTGGATGAGAAAATGTGGAGTATATAGCAGGTATGGGAGGGAGGGAACTGTACTACATCTTTACTCTTCCAAGACATGATCCTGAAATGTAGACTAATTATTTTCAATGAACAAATTTTTAACAATTATAACTAGCAAACACTCATTGATTGCTATGGTTTGATGAATGACTAACCAGATGTGACTATCTGGATTATTTGAGTATTTTTTCTATTTATATTGGATAAATGTTTGTTATTCATTATTCTTCCAAAAGATATGCAGGAGTAGTTACCTTAGACTAGTTTTATTCCCTGACAGCTATATCAAACTGTTGTAAGCTACCACCATAACAAAAATCCTCCTCCAGCTCACAGAATTGTCTGTAACACTTCATAATAGTGGTATATGAAACTTAAATAACTCAAGTCCTCCTGTATTTGCTTTCAAATAATAATATGTTTGGTACAGTAATGTTAACAGTGGTTCATGTGAGTTAAAATAAGGGAGAGTTTAAACGGAAAAAAAAAAAACAATTAAGCAAAAATATTCCCTGGTACTTTCTTTCTGGACAGGGGACAAGAATATTTATATTAGGAGTAAAATATTAAGGTATAGCTATTAAGATATTTTAAGGTTACCTTAAGGATATTAACTTAGAGCTGAGGGTTTCCTTTGAAGCAGCAAACATAAAAATAGGCCTTTAAGTCCATCGTATCTGCCTGCTACTTAAATGTTTCACTCTCCTTACAAAAGCAGTATTCTTTCAGCAAGTATGTTTAAGGTAGTAATTTAATATAGCTTTCCAAAAAATGAAGGACATTGGGAGAAATACCCTCCTAAACCATAAAGAGAACAATAAAGATACACAGAACAATTTAATAGTAGGCTGGGATTTCTGACTTGAAGCTTATGTCATCATTTGCTCCTCTGTAAAGTGGATACAAACTAAGTTTAAGTTCTGCCAAAAGCAAAATGCAGGTACTAGTATCTTGCATCTATTCACTAGATCAAAACCTTCAGACAGGAAATGTTTTCAGTTCTCAGAGGGATCTCCCTGACAGTGCCATATGCTATAATCAACCCATACTAGAACCTGGAGCTGTGGATGGCGCTGTCAGGGATTTTTAGGCACAGTGGCAACCCACCTATGGCCATTTTTTAATGTCAGACCTGTTTCCCAACACAGATCTTCAAATATGATATGCACCTGTCACATCATATTTTGACTTCATACAGAAGCTTAGGGAGAAGACTCCTGGGTTTTTTGGGCATTATGAAACCTCTGGGGACTGCATGCCTTCCAACAGTGCAATTCATTATGATACAGCATTAAAATAAAGTAGAAAAATCTGCAAATACATCCTCTTCCACAAAATAATAGCCTTGACCACATTTTCCTGATACAACAGAAACTAGACCTAGATCTATTTATGTGGCTTAATAGATGCATGGGGAGATAAATATTTAATTACCAATTTGATACTGTTTATCAATTATGAGCAATACACTATGTCTACTGCACAGCTCTGATTAGCTTTGTAAAACACAGAACAGGAAGAAAATAAAAAGGAATTTACAGACATTGGCTCACCAGTCTCATGGAACCTGTGCAGCTTGTTGAATTGTTATTTATTGATTAGTCTTATAATGCCTTTGTATCTAATTAAAAATTCAGCATGGGCTCTGTGAATAAGCAATAGACAATGTCTGGTCTAAAAAAGGAACTACCCAGTCACAGAAATGAACTGGGAATACCAGAAGCTCCATCTGTCCTGAATAATTACATGTTCACAAACTGTTTTGCATAGTACTGTATTTTGTATGTTCAAAACCACTGGAATAGTGAGTAGAAATGGAGTTTGTCTAGTAATTTTATGAAATTCATAGAAATCTATTGATAGAAAGAATTTCAAGATATATGCTAGTCCTCTCCTCCTGGTCTGAGGTATAATTTCATAAACCCACTGATTTTAAGGTTTCTACAGTCTCCCTAAATTTTATGTGCCAGTGCTGATTATTGTTATGGTTTAAAAACAGTACGTTTGTTTTACTCCTTTGAACACCATTTATATTTTCTTCCAGACTAGTTCCATACTTCCAAATATTTCCATAGGTCAAGTTTTCTAAACCATTTACTCATTATACTCTCCTGCACTCCCCTGTCTTTCTTAAAATGTTGCACTTAAAAGTGAACTTTTTTTTAATCCAGCAGAATGCAGCAACCATTTAACATCAGTTTTTCACAGAGAAGAACAGTGAATATTTCTCCCAAGTTCACACACAACACTCTGAGTAATGCCTCCTAGAAAAGGTGTTTTTTTGCAACAGTATCACATTCTCTATCCTTGTGTTGTTGTGGACTGCTACAGCCCCCAGAATTTTTTTATACAACTGCTGATCTTTTTATATTTGCGCATTTGATTTTTTCCTTCCTACAATCTTTCACTCTTTATTTAAAGTAACTATTTACACATTTTTGAATTTTCCTATTTTCCTGTTCCCAACACATTCCTGATTGGTGTCACCCACTTGTGCATTATACTTTTCAAATCTTATACTCCTGTATCACTTGTTGCATTGCAGTAACAATCAGAAAAAATGAAGGTTATCTTTCTCACTAGTCAAATCTGAGTTGAGAGTCCTCTAGAAAAACTTCCTTGAAGTCCCTCCTAAGCAGTAAACATCTTTTGTTCTATAATGTGATTCTAGCTAAGCTTTATAGTATTTTCATTTTGACATCCAAAAAGTGAAAAACAGCAGCATTTGCTGATATGCACAAGTGATGGACTTGCTGGACTATTTTCTTACCTAATTTGTTTATTATTTTCAATCCACAGTGAACATAAAGGGTCAGAAACTAGATATAGAATAGTTTTTAAAGCAAAAAAGAGCTGACAGTCCTTTGAATTAATTGTATTGTGCAATACTAATTGAGAATATGGAGGACGGAAAAGTACATCCTGTGATAGAGCAGACATTTTTGGTTTTCTTCTCTTTATTATTGCTGCCTTTTTTACGATACAAGTCTCTTCTGCTGTGTCCACTTTCTGCCACAGTTGCCAGCTAGCTTTACATTTGCCCCATGTATAGACCATACGTCTAATAAATCACACACACTTAAATAACTAAAGACATTGTAAGTATAACATGAACTCTGAACATGTCAGTAAACAACTGGCTTTACTATGTAACCTCAGTGTTAGCTTTGAAGTAGGATTGTGTAAATCTGATGCTACAGGTAATATATTATTAAATGTACAGACTATTTAGTCATTTTAATGAAATGTTCATAGGGTAGAAGGTTGAGAGTTAACTTTTTTTAACAGTCCCTGCTATTAATGGACAGTGGATTCCATTAGCTAAGTAATTTCTTTTTGCTTGGTCTGTGACTTTCAAAGAAAAAGAGAGTCATATATGAATGTTCAATTTGGAGAGAAGCAAGATGACAATTCAGGATGACTCACTTCAACTAAAAGATACAGACAGGATGGTTTGTAATATTCCAGTTGGGGTTTTTTGCTGTTATCAGGATTTGCTAACTGATCAGGGACAGAATTCCAACATCTGGCCCTTTTAGTTAATTTTACATTTCTGCAGCACATGCAAAGGAAGAGCAGCAGATAAATGTAGTCACTTCAGCAAGTCTATCAGATCTTATGAAGCTTACACCCAAACAATCCTTGCCTTCTCTGCCCATAACTCAGCCCAGATCTCAAATGTTCAGCTATGCTATGTCAGAAAGAGAGGTAACAGAGTTTGTAATGACCAAATCTCAGCCATCCTTTCTGATTCTCTTCTCTGCTCCACTCACCAACCAAGCATAGCTCTCAAGGACTAGAATGCGTTAGTCACTGTGAGGCATGAAGCTGGAAACAAGATTTTTTTTTTTTTTTTTGAAATGTAGTAAATGAAGATATGGAAAGTTTACTCCAGTTTCAAATGCCTTAACGCTACTCCCAGGCTCTTTCTGATCTATAACTGTTCAATCTCATATTCTCTAACTCCCCCTTCTTGTGCTGAGGTTTCTCTGGCTTCTGTTGTCATCTAAATTTAGTTTTGGGGAAGAGCTCTTGGAAGTATAGAATAGTCCTCTTTCCAGCATCTCATTAATCTTTCCATTGTACCTTAGCTCATATCCTCACTGAAGCATTGGCAGTGGTACTGTCATTAATTTGTACCTAAATTCTATTATACGCAGCACTGCAATTAGTTGCATAAAGACTCAAGACTTATTTTGGCTATATGGGCATTCAAACATTTAACTTGTGTGCTCAGGCTTCAAGCTTGGAATATTTTTTTTGTCTTTTCTTTTGGGGAAACTGTTGAAAATGTGTGCATGTAAGAGAGTAAATATAGGTAGATTATGGTCTGGCTGAGGAATATTGGAGTTAATGTAGTTCCCAGCATGCTTATAAGGCACTTAGGTAAGCAATGAACACTCCCGGCTTTCGCAAAATATTTGTAGGAGGCAGACCAGAATCATGACAATCCCTATTTTGTTGGGGGGTAGTGTTGAGGTGTGTTCCACATTCTAATTATTTTGATACCACACCTAGATCAAAATCAAATCTAATTTTGTTGCATATCTGTAGTCATAAAAACAAGAGGAGCAAGGAAAATCAAACATAAGATAATTGCAGCAGAAGAAATATACACACAGGACATTTTTCCAAGTTTTTATACCCAGCAGGTCCTTGAAAGCAGCTCAGCAGGCTGAGTAGCTTTCATGAGTATTTCTCTTTAGGAATTGGATGACTAGAGTGACTCTTTGTTGCTTTAAAGTTCATGCTAGCTGCTAATTACTTCTTTTTAAGGCAAATTAAAAGGGCTAGTATATGTCAACATATTAAAAACTACTGATGCAACATTATGGTAGTACTCCAGGTGAGTACTACAAGCTTGATTGTCTATCCCCTGAAAAAAAGAATAGGTTTTCTTCACATGGGAAAGTATCTTTTCTCTTTCTGTGTTTTACTATTTGTTTCCCAGTACGCACTTTCTTCACATTTGCAGAACATTAGAGAGTGCTTTTGATTCACCAGTGCAAGATGCACTGAATCGGTGGATCTGAAGCTTGTAGCACATTAAGATTTCATTACTTTCTATCTCTGGCCAAAAGAAAACTTTATTAGAGGATGGCTCAAGCAGAAAAGGAAAGAAAAGGAGCAAATAAAAAAAAAATAATTAAGGCTGAAATAGAGTTAGTTTTCAACCTGGGCAGGATGGGACCTTAGACCCTACTTGAGTACACCGCTGCTTTTTGTGCTTTGCCTGTTGCAGGGGGAGTCTGAGGGGAGATGTATTGCTGTTTATATTCTTGCTTTGAGAGTAATTCCACCATGTTATGTGTAATGGTGGTTATTAGCAGCTATGGCTTGCACACACACTGCTCTCTTGTCCTCTTTTGCACCTTTATTTTTATTTTCCTGGGAAAATGAGAAAGGTCAAATGCTCTCTTGAATAGCTGGCTAAATATCTTCCTCAGCTAAAATGGCAGAAGATGCCATAAGGCAAATGTGGCTACAGCTGAGAGACTTCATTCCATTTTTGCCCTGCTCATAAGACTAAACATGTCATTGGTGCTTAATGTTCAGTTATTCAGGAGTTGGAACTTGAATTAATTCTCAACCTTTTTGTTTGCACTCCAGAGTAATGTACAGCAGGCTCCTCTCAACTCTAGCATATCTCAGTCTCCTTTTGAATATAACAGCAATGCTGACCTTTTAGAAATAAAATGGATGGGGATATTTCTGAAGTCAGAATTAACACAGGTGTCTGAATTTAAATCAATATATTTGCCAGAATAATAAAAACAAGTATAAATCAAAAGCAACCTGAAAAGAAAAAATGCTTTTGTTTCACTGTTTTTTTTGAAAGTCAGAAATCAAAGACAAGGGATACCATGCACATACAAGAATATTAATATGTAATTCCTCTTTACATCTTTTCTTGTATTCACTGATTTTTCTTTCCACTGAGAAATAAAGTAGCATATATATCTAGAAGAATGCATTTTCCAGCTAGTTAATAGGGTTAATATTGCTATTTTTATTAAGTGCTGAGTACTTCCTCATTTATCATTTTAAATTCCATTACTTGTTTCCAAGGAGATGGAAAGATGCAGGATAATCATCTGAGAATCTGATCTGTAAGGCTGTTTTCTTTAATGAGAGTTGAATGTGCCCTGTTTTAAGGAACAAAATAAACTTGGAGCTGCTGTAGTAAAGAGTTTGGGACTTCAAGTTTTATTTCTGTGCAGGCCCACTTTCTGCTTCTGGAAGTTGGAAGGGGATTGTAGAATATTCAAATCAGTATCAGATTGTCATTTAGTGGCTCAGCTGTGCTATTTTCTACACTGAAGCAGGATAGGAAGTTCCCTTGCCCACCCACCCCTTGCAGTAGTGGCTTTCTCCTAACAGTTCTAGGTTTTCTTGGAGGACTAGAATGGACAATAGACAACTTATTTTTCTTTCTGTGAGTTGTTCTCCAGCAATACTAAAGCCTGGATGGTTCCATAGGTATTTAAAAGCCAGTACTTGCTCAGTGAAGTGATAATGCTAAGTTCTAAACAGAGATATCTGTCTTTTTCTCCTGTTAATAAAATCCTAAATGAATCTGAAGGTAACCAGAACAGTTGCCTTACCTGAAGTAGTCTTCACCACCTCAGTTGTATTTCTTAATCCTGTAAAGGAGAACTGGTAAAGCCTCCAGGACCTGGTGTCTCCCACCTCCACTGAGCTGCGCTTCCATTGGTAAATGATCTCTTCTCTTGGGTAGCCATCTTAGTGCAATGGAAAATACAGAATTCTTTGTTTCATAGTCATTGCTAGGATTTTAGTGCACTTTAGGGAGTAAAAATACTATTTTCTATTTCTGGAAAAAACTGGAGCAGCATTATTGCAAGTAAATTATAGATATGTTTTTCTGAAGTTACTTAGTGCCTTTTCTTTAACATCACATTTTATTTTACTTATGATAAATTAAAATAGCACTTGAGATAAATTTTTCAAAAATTAGTTTTCCACTTTTGTGGACTCAATAGGATGCAATTTTGCCCATCATTCAATTATGGCCAAAAAGTCTGCAGCTGGACCAGGACTGCAAAATGTCAAACTCTTGACTCCAGCTATTGCAATAGTAAAACACGCATGCACAGAGAGAAAGTATCGGGACATGAGACTTTGATGCTGAAAGTAAAAATTTCTACTGTTATGCTAAGATATAAGCATAAAATAATCACACAGGTCCCAGAAAGGGTATAATTTTTTACATAGCTTTCCTCAATTATATTTGTGAACGTATATGAAAAGAAGGTCAAAATAAAACTGAAAAACATTGGACTATGTCTAGTTAAGAACATAACCCTCGCTGACTCTAAGTATGTAAATATAAATTTATAATAAGTGGTTCAATGTGGGTCAGAAAAGGGATATTTCTAAGCATGTTACTTACAGCTTGAAAATTCCAGGGGGCAGGAATGGGCATCCATTGGGAAGTTGTGTAGCTGTAGCTGACACTCAGCATCAATGGTCAGCCTGAGGAGAAAGAGGTTGGGATACACAGAATGCATTTCAGAAGTTTGTCCTGAAAACTACATCATGGAAAGCAAAACAACATACTTATTAATATGAAACCTGACTATGAAATATGCAAATATTTATATATATATATATAAAACAGCAAAAGTAAACTATTGATGTGTATGTATTAATTTGGATATTCCAATCATAGGAAGACATCATCATTACTGATAAAGTAGTGTTTCTTTTTTGGTTGCATAGCCCCTGATCATCTACTTTCTGGACTATGTAATAGAATAAGGTATTAAAGTTCTGTTCCTATGCATACAAAATGGCAGCATTACCCATGAGTAGCAAATCTAGAAGTAGATATACAGGTCATCTCATGAGCAGTGACAAATCTCCGTGTCACAACATGTCATAATGCACTAAGGAAATGTATTTTATATGACAAAACTTCTATTTCAGAAATGATGGATGGGAGTCCAAATTTAGCCATCTGCATCCAAGACAGCCATCTAGACTACCTTCATAGCTAGTGGAAAGGCACTCTGAGGATAAACTTAATTTAATTCCAAAATAAGACATTTAAATTAAATCTAGAAGAAGAATGCACCAAAAGGTGTTTCTCTCCACTGAATATCAGGAGAGTCTACATGATAACTCAGGTGGTGTAGGTGCTACAGATCAGGTAGAGACATGTACTTTTAGAAATCCAAAATTGGATGAGATGTACCCCCTGATCTGCCTGCTAAAAAATCTATCATTTTTTCATTCAGTCCCTTAATTGTTACTAGCCTATACATAGC